TAGTGGGTGGAGCACATCATGTCACATTCGGATCCTTTATTATTGTATTTGCAAGTTCTTCTCATGAAATATTCATGTATTAGATCCGGGGTTCTTACCCTTTTGGACCGTATACCTCCCCTCAGAGCTCACAAAGCTGCCTAGAAAAAGGAAAACCCCAGAGACCCCGGTTTCTACAGCTTAGAGGCCTAAGCGAGCTCCGTTCGGGTAGGCTAGGCCACGAGTGGAGTCGTGCCGATCGAGTGGAATTCGGAAAAGTCGACCCGACCCCCCAATGTGCACTTTTTTGTTAACACGGTATTTTTAACCGTGCTGGCAACCATTTTATGACTTTCCACTATTGGGTACAAAATACAAATGTGACATATAAAGCATGAAAATTTGGATTAAAATCACGAAAGAGCTCAAAAATGCAAATATATATATTATTCCGATAGCGGCCTTAATTCAGGTCTGAAGGGGTTAAGGCGCCATCACACGCAATGCTTTGGCTGATATGCCTAGGTATGATTGCCCCCCACATAAGTGAATTTACTCTGAACAAGTGATTAGATGCTATGAGATACCCTTGTGAGTTTTCAGGGAGAACTTTTAGCATTGGCATTGGCATTGCATAAGGTTTGATTTTGAGGGATGCATGGGATGCGGATCGACTCTATAAAGTTGACCCATCGACTCTATAAAGCTGACCCAAGCTGACTTTGTGCTGACCCGACCCGCGGATCGGGCGGGTACCGAGGTCCGCATCAACATTCTTATTTGATGCGGGCAAATACGCTTCCCGAGGATCTCTCGGTGACAGCTGCTGATGGAACGTAGTGATCCATGAGAACAGCGAACAGTTCAGCACGAACGTCATGTCATGTAATAGCTGAAAGCTTCAGCAGAGTCAGCAAAGCTGCCCAGAAAAAGAAGAGACCCAGAGATACCGGCTTCTACAGCTCTGAGGCCTCATCGATGGAGGGGTCGGAAGGACCACAAATGGAGTCGGGCCGATCGAGTCAAATTCGAAAAATTGGACCCATGGTGTCCTCCGTCTTCCGACCCTAACATTTGAAAATTAATAATAATATTGAAGCACGAACTCAATGCTGCAAACAGACTAGAAGTACTGTCATTAACTGGCAACGGAACTGGTGACGCAATAAAGTATGACATGATTATTGCCAGCAGTTAAGGTAACAAAAACTTCGTAGCCAACAATCCCTCATACGATCATTGCTGGTTTTGTGCATTTCGCCGAGGAAGGCATTCAGTTCGATGCTATTCTTATCGCGGAAATTTGGCCTCATGATGCGAAAATGGTACAGCTTTTTGAGCTCTCGACCCAATAGTCATCGTCAACGGGTTTCGAATGACAAAAACGGGTATATTTTAAAATCGAGCTACACAAAACGAATTTGGAACTCTTAGAAATGAGATGGAGGGTAGGAGGACGGATCCTGTCTGAAGAGACTCTCCATTTCCCTTTCACAAGGATGAGTAACAGCGAGTTCCACCGCGTAGCATTTCAAGGGAGACAACGATAAGATTTGAAGCAAACATGCTTTCGATCAATCATAAGGGATGTGTTTCCTCTATAGGGAAACCCCAATCGCCTGTATGCAAATGTTTAGCAAGTTCCGCTTCTTAACGTGAAAGTGTGACCCGGCGTTTTCATTCAAGAACGCCACGGTAGAATAGGAGAAGATTTTGAGCTTGGCCGGGATGCGGATCGCCTCGATAATATCGATCTGACCCGTGCATCAGGCATGAAGAACGATTGACAATCTAGTTTCCGGTCGGGTGCGAGAGATTGCGTCATTTGAGACCGCGAGTTCTGAAGCTCAAGGGACAAAAAGGCATTGGACCGGTTCGTTCCGCAATCGAATCTCAGGTTGAGTGCGGGTCACGACGTGTGAGCACTTCTTCGGAAAGCGTTCGGTATTGTGCTATTCTTATTGGCCGAAAAGTGGCCTCATTGCAAGAAAATGGGACGATCTTTCAGACTTTCGATCCAGGAAGTATCGCCTCCGGTCATAGCTTACGATCGACATCTCACTCGTGAAAATCCTTTCATCCGTCTAAGGGGAGTATATGCCTATGGATGAGAGATGCCCGCCGCAGCGATTTCACACAACCCATAAGAAAGAGGTTTTTCCGGCGTATTGGGAAATATTCATGAGATTCAGATTTCCCGATATCACTGTCTTGCACGGTTCCCCATGTGATAGACACGTTTCACCACCCTGTCGGCGTGCACAGAATGCCCGTCATTCTGAATCGTTACACGCGAAACTGCTTTTTTACGCAGATCTGCGTGGGTCCCTTCGCCAGCTCTATCCCCCTCCTCCTCGGAGCAAATACGTCATTAGAGACCTGTAGGTCTCAAGCTTAGAAGCCTAAGCGGGATTCGGACCGGCCATATCAGCACAACACGATCCGCGACTAGCAGCAGCATCCGTGGCTCGACGATCGCGTTCCGGGTCGGGTGCGGGCCACGATTTCAATCGGGCCGATCGAGTTTCAATTCGGAAAAGTCCACCCGTGCAGGCCTCCGATGCGCGTAAAGACCGGAGAACCCAGGGACACCACTTTCGCATCGTACTTTTTGGACTTTGGATGCAATAAGAATCGACTCCACCTCATGAGCTTTCGATTGACACCTTAATTATCAATGTTAAAATTCGTTCATCTCTCTAGGAGGAGTTTTCCGGAATGACAGACAGACGGGGAACCCATGTCTTCTGCGTCATTCAGTTTCTTCAAGTATTTCTTTCGACAGAACGAGTGCACTGACTTACAAATTACAGCCGGAAGGGACGCACGATTCATTCGTCTGGGGGGGGGGGGGGGTGGGGGGGGGGGGGGGGGGGCGCTAGAGGGTCCGGGGGGGACGATCATCGGAATTTTTTCTTATCGACTGCAGCTTGCAATTTAAAAAACTCTGAAATATTTTTACTCATATATCTATTTTTTTTTTTTTTTACTGGAAAAGGGTCACATTCCTTCAGGTCTTTCTGGCTCTTTCTCTAGGAGTACCGGGCAAAATGAAAGCAATTCAAGGGGGCAGACTTTTAATCCGTTTTCTTTTTTTTTCTTAAGGGTGTACATTTCCGTCGGCGATTTTCTGCGATTCGAACGAAGATGACGAATGAATCGTGCGTCCCTTCCGGCTGTAATTTGTAAGTCAGTGCACTCGTTCTGTCGAAAGAAATACTTGAAGAAACTGAATGACGCAGAAGACATGGGTTCCCCTGACATATCAAAATTTCCGAATGCATTTCTCCGTCAGGTCTTCGAAAATGAGATTTGCGCCTTTACTTTTACTGTCCAGTCCAGATTCGATCATTTGTGGGCCGAGAAGCAAGTGAGCGTCGTTCTCATTAAATTACGCGAATAGTAATCCGAATCCTAGCTATGACTCGATCCCTGGAACGTTGCAATCCGTTTCTCATTTTTTCAACCATCGCATGAAAAATGCTTCCGCGGGGTAAGTACTCCTCTCGGTACTAAGTACTCAGTACTACTAGAGTACTAGGTACTCCTCTCAGAGAGTAAGTGGGCGCAACACCGAACCAGGGTCACTAGAGGGGACGCAGCGTAAAAAGTTTGGGAACCAAAGGCAAAGAAAAGCCTGTCCACCATACAAAGGAATTAAATTCACAATACCGTAGGAATGCTAAATGACGCACTGTGAATTTTTACTAGGTGATCCTCACGCTGGAAGTCATATGACGTCACTGAATAAATTATGAAACGTCTTTATTTTTACGATGCGAGCGCCGAAGGCGCGAGAAATGCCAAGCGCGTTAACCAATGAGTTTGGCTGCATCATTAGGGCTGAGCTTCGAATAACGGATGTTTAAATCCTTCAGCGGCGAATGGTCGCTGAATGAGACACATTCAAGTAAATGAGAAAATGTACTTTCTGCTTTTTGCTCGGACAAAATGTTGTAATGAAATCGTTACTTGAATGGAGAAATTCATTAATTAGGATGCAATGCACTTTATTGCATGGTATCAATATTTTCTGGACGATTCATTCTGCCCATAAAATCATCGCGGGTTCGATGACACCTCCATTTAAACAAAGCATTGGGAACAGACACCCGACCGGCGGGAAAAATAGCACATCAAGCCTACAAATAGAATGCAATGAATGCATACGAAAAATTCGATGATGATGTAAGGAACGAAATGTGTTGGTGACGTTCAGACCGATTTCTCTTAATTTCCAATGAAGAGAGTTTATCAGGAGCAGGGCCAGCTATACATCACACGCTATCATTTTGGTCGCATACGAGGTGTGGCTATGAAGTAATGAGACTGATTTATCTTTGCGGCTCGTCCAAGGATAGAAGGAATGTTTCGTGTAGGGACATGTTTCTTCATGTTTCGACTTGCATCAGGGATAGTTGCGCATGAATTGGATCAGCCTCTTGCCAGAAGCGTTATTGAAAAGAGTCGCATGTTTCTTCATGTCGTCGTGAAGACGAGTGATCGTTATTTAGAGCAAAGAATTAGCGTAAAATGTTGCGTGGAGTTGGAGAAGTCTGCAAGTGAGACACTTGTAATGTTAAAAGAAGCAAGAGCAAGAATTTCTTTTACTGGTTACGAACGATTTAAAGGAGGCAATGAAGACGTCAATGACAATGTAAATGTAAAGACCTTGCAAATTGGAATCCCTCTCACACGTACGTCTATGAGTCGTTCATACACCCCAATTACACGAACTCATAGCTCACATGGGAACAGTCATATATGAGCAAAATTATTCGCGATCGAAATCACCTATAGATGTCTCTCGTGTTTCCGCGGTATGGCCGTTGTAAGGCGGATAGTTCGAATGCAGTGACGCGCAGTCAACGACTCCTACTCTCGTTGTTGTGATCGTTCGCTTGTTCAGCTATAATGCCTGGCTTGAGTCTGGTGGACATTCTTACATATGTGGAAGGTGGTCAAGGGTCACGAAACTTGACAGAAGGGGAAGCAGTATTGAATGCAGGACACATCATTGCATGTGGCGTAAGTACGGAGGAAAGCACTGAAAATGTTTGGAAGGTAGTGGCTCTCTGCCTTCAAACCAGTGCGCTCACATCCCCACCTCACACCATCAATGCCACATTTACATTGAATGGGGACAGTGTGACGATTTCGGACATCATTTGCTCATGCAAAGCTGGGCAAGGGAAGCAATGCAAGCATTGCGTCGCCGTTCTCCTCTTCATAAACAGGTAAGATGTTCACACGTATGCCTATTTCTTCCTATCTAACTTGATGCTGCTGGGCAGCCTAGGCCATGATACTCTCACTGCTCAATCTATATTGGGCTTTTTTTTAATATTTAAAGTGTGTAGAAGTAGAAGGGTAGCCCTGGACCTCCAGGCTACTTTGGTTATTGAGGGCCTGGGCCTTACCATATTATGCTTAAACCTATATAAATTCCTTCATGGTCGCACTCTAACTAGAATAATGATGTGCCTAATTTAGGCATATTGATAATGTGAAGTACCCATTTTTTCAAAGCAAATTTGATTTCAACTTTCAGGTGTGACATGGAGTCTCTGGAACGACTTTCATGTACAGACATGAAGTGCATGTGGGCAGACCGCAAGAGTGGAACCCTCAACATGTACCAACCAGTTCCCCTGAGAGACTTCTGTCATGTAAGCATCCCACCTCACATGTCCTTGTCTAGTGAGACATCCACTGCAGTCTTGCAGGAGCTTCTAGCAGCTTGTCCAGATTCTGCTCTTGCTAAGCATAGGTGAGTTCAATAAATATGCATGTGATATTCATGATGATTAGATTGAGAAGAGATGAGGACTTAAAGTATGCATGATCACCCATGCAGGTTGTGACTGATAATGTGCATGAGTGTCAGTCCAGACCAGAAATGACCAACTGTGGGTCAATGGATACTGTAAATCCACCTCCATTCAGTGCTGTTATGAAGAACTTGGATGATCAAAGCCTGGAGGCATCTGTGGGGTGGAAAAAATACACTGCAAATGATGAACTTCCAAATGCTGTGAAAACTCTGAAGATCAGTAAGTGAGACCGCATGTAACACCAATCACTCCAAAAAACTTAATGAGATGGATTTCTGAGAATGCCTGCCTAACAGTTTCCTGGTTGCATGTTTTAGGAAATAGCATGCTATTCCTTTTCCTGCCTATGCTTTGATTCATGAACTTGGAATGGAAAGTTTGGCCAGGATTTCTTTCAGCTTTAGAGCATTTTCTCATGTCAATTATGAAGAGAGACTTATTGGACCTTGTGTACTACATATAAGACTTCCATGCAAGTTTTTAGAATTTTGGCTGCTGTGAACTTTTCATATACCTTTTTCTTTTACTTCTTTACCCATCTGAAGTAACATTCAAAATTTCCTGCTGCATTTATACATTCTAATATGCATGGACATCTTGCGCAAAAGCAGTGGTAATATATATGAAATTGAGAGAATTGATTTGCACAAGAATAGTTCAAGTACTAAAATTCCACTAAACATTTTCCCTCCAAACCAATTATCTTTAAAGCCTCTTCCCTATTTTGAAATAGGCATGGCCGGAGCACCATGAAAGAGAGTCCAAACCCCATCNGGATATTATGCTCAAATACAATTAGCCATGTGGATTTTGGATGCCCCTGTATCATGCCTTATGGTGAAGTCAGACGTTGACCATGAGGTCATCTTTGTAAATAGTGATGAAAACTATTTGGCAAATGTCATTCCTAAATGTCGAAATTTCTATTTCCAATATTACCTTCCAGCTTTATTCAGTTCTAGTCAAGAGTCTTGATTTTCTCCACCCATTCCATTGATACTTTGCATCATAGCCATTTAAAATGAAAATGCACTGGATTTTCCTGACTTCAAATGAAATATATGAGAATGTCACCAACAACAGGACTTTTTCCATTGACATCCAGCTAAAAAGAGTATATCTAAATTAAATGAAAGACCATACATACATTATAATGAGATACATTTCTGAACTCATTCATTTGCCTATACTCAGTCTCAGCAACATGAGAAAATAGGTCCTAAAATTTATCATCTGCCAAAATAGGTGAGGTCAGATTTGTAATTCCAGCAGCAATGAGCATGAAGTCATCAACTAGAGGAACAAGAGTCCATGGGAGCTTCCCCGAGAGGACCGCAAATTGCTTCAGTCTCTGAATCACACGTTCCACATGCACTCTAGCTTTTGCAATCTGTCGAGTTCTGAGCGCATCACTGCTGCAGAATTGCTGCTGTTTCCTCAAGTATGGAGGACGAAACAGTTCAATGCCTCTTTCTGTGCAGATTTTCTCAATGAGGAATCCTTTGTCTGCCATAATGGCATCATGAAATGGCTGTAACTTCTCTATGATTCCACTTTGTTCAAAAATGGCTTTGTCAGATCGAGAAGGAGGTATAGGAACTGACTCCTTCCACTAGTACGGAGGACCACTTTGTGGTTGGTATATAAAGTGACACACCCACGGGAATATTACTCTCATACAGTCCTACGCCGTGAACTCCGTTACGGGTTCCATCACAGAGATCTCTGTGCAGTCAATCACTACCCTGACTTTTTTGAAAAATAATTTTGTAAATCCCTATAAGTAGTTTTGGAGAAGAAAACTTCCGGTTTGGTGTTGACTAAAGTCGTACTATCGGTTGAAACCTTAGTGACGGGTCTTTCATAACGACGTACACAACCTTCACGTTATGAAGAGAACACCAAGAAAGTTATAGCTGAGATTCAACTTAATCTTCATCAAGCTGAGTAGAAGCTGTTCTTCAAGGCTCAAAACATGCTTCCTTGTAACAATCAAAACAGTGGCAAGGAGTCTCACAAGTGTGTTCAATAAATGGACTGTTGGAACTCCCGTAAGTGTCTTGATCTTTGAATCTTCCATAATCAAACTTATGAAGGGTGGTCTCAAGTCACCAGAGGACACATTTACTGCAACATCAGCAGTTGGGGCTGGCAGTGGGCTCCCACACTGTAACTGAAGGAGTGCCATAGCAGCCTCATCTCGGCTCCTGTCATCCTCCCCAATGTTGATTCCTGTAGACAGTAAAAGTAATGAACATGGTATTCTTACCACATGCCCAGTTGAAAGAGTGCCACATAATTCAATCAAAAATTTTTTTGGATAACAAATTCTTTGTTATTCTTATATGTCTAGTTTACATTGCATATAAATGAGCTTGGGTTTAGTGGGAAGGTGGTGTGAAGCCTATTATGATAAATATAGCATCTAAGCTGTGCAAGGATTGTACTTAGTGTACCATCTTTCCTTTGCATCCAAAAAAGCCAATATGTCCTGTTTTTCTCCTGCAAAGTTTCCCAGCCAATTCCCATCCACTGGAATTTGGTGACGAAACATTCACAAAATGAGTGTTCAAGTGTTTCTGGAAAGTTGTTCCAAAATGGGCAAAGGTTGTCCTCAGCTTTCCCTATTCTCTTCAGCCAGGTTTTATATATTACAGAATCATAAGGACAAATACAAAATTGTTTGACTTTCAGCATAAACTCACCATCATTTTCATCTGGATTGGCTTCATTTCTTTCCTCATGGCTCAAGATGGGGGTAGGGTCAATTTCAAAATTCCTTCGGTCCCTGCGTTCTTTTCTCGCTCGGGAACTGTCCATCTTCTTTCTTATCTTTGATGGCACATCAGTGGAGGACAGGGGCAAGTTGATGGATGGAAATGCTGTCTTCTTCAACTTGCGTTTCTCTGCAGAGGTGCCTGCATTTAAGAAATATACATAACACTTTAAGTAGTCACCCAAATGTAATAAAGCCATATGCCTATTTTGAAGTTACAAATATGCTATGCCAAAGGCTTCCATCCGTCTAGAAAACAGGAAAGTCTTCACCTGCTGTCACTGGAATTTTAATACCTTCTGGCTGGTATTATGATTTATCACTGCCAGAGTTTTACCAGGACAGAGGCCAAAGGAGAAATAACCAAGCCAAAAACATTAAGACATTAAATTTTCAGGTCTTAATGAATCATGCGAAAAACAGTAAAGATCTTTGGAAAATGCCAATTGAAAGGCCAGAGTTCTACTCCGTGAAGCTTTCGAGTTACAGCCAACAACACAGCAATACCGGTTATTCGCTTTTGTACCTTTTCTTGGTGAAAATTCCATCCGCGTTTAAAGAGGGGAACAGGGGTGGAGCACGCAGTCAAAATCGCCATCCGCTTTAAAGTAGTTCCTTCCTTCCGCCACCAGTTAGCGTCTAAGGAGCTGCGATGCCCAATAGCGTGTGATGGGGTCTTTAGGCATGTGCCAAATGTGCCCCGCGGAGAGCACCAAGTCACCAAACGCACCAAAAACGTGTTTGAATGAACCTGTGAGTGCGTGTGGCCGGGGAGGGGGTGGGAGGGTTGAGGAAGGAGAGGCGTTGGGAGTCACTTTGCACAGGGTGCTGAAGTAGCTAGCGCCGGCCCTGAATAGGAATGATGAACTGGATGAATACGACGATGTAAGCTGCAACCGCTTCAAATATCTATGAGAAGCGATGCAGAAAAAATCAAATAAGAGCAAAGAGGAGATTTTGGCATGCCGATACGATGCAAGCTTACCGAGAGAAGCATTCGCTTGTCGAGGGTGAAGAAATCCAACGCGGAGAGCTCCACGGGAGAACAGGCAAGAGACGAAAGGAACAATTGAAGTTGTTTCCTCGAGCGTCCGTCCAGGTCGTTCATTTCCAACCGCCTTGCGAGTTTGGTGGACTTATTGGCCTGGCATTAAAAAAAGATTATATTCAATAGAATGGCGATCGTAGCCTAATAATATGAATGTGACTTCGGAATTTTTGGGAAATAAAATTTCCGGAATTTACATATATAGGGTGGCTAAAAAAAACGCTCAACCGTTTTCTATGGAAGAAACACAGTTTTTCATAAATGTTGCAAAAAAATTACGTTGGATACGGAATCGATATAAGACAGTTACAATGTAGGCGGCTCCAACGTGATTTAACGTTAATGATTATCACGAAGAGATCGCCAGTGTGTTCGAGGTTCATAATGACTCCGTTGACTCCTTAAAGATACAATTACCTTATTGTGACAACCAGCTTGGAAAGAGGTCAATAGTAATGAGAACCAGAAAATGGATATGGAATAAAAATTCAAAATTTCGTTCCCTCAAACGCTAATTAAGCAATAGATACTCAACGAGCAATACCTGAATATAAACCAGAGTGGTATGGGTGGGGTGACGGACAGCATACGATCTCCAGCGCTGACGTCATGGGTCTACTCAATATCCCGCGTCTTCTCTCAGGTTTCTCCTCACTATCCTACAATTCGACTCCCTTGTCCGGCTCACTCACTTGACAAACCGATCCGACCGACCCGACCCACGCGACTCTCCCGCGCGACACTTTTATTGCGTTATGTCGGACATGCGCATTATCTTTTACGGTGATTTCATCATCCTTATAAAAGTACCTCCTACAACAAGGTGTTGAAATAGTGCCTAACTTTTTTTCAGCACCCTTGCCTAAGTCGTGTTATGACCATTTAAAGGTGAATTAAGGGTTTTTTAAGGTGGATCATCCCACCTCAATTGAGGCGATTACCTGTGCTCGACCGCCTCAGAATTCAATGAATTTCTCAACCGTAACGTTTCAAGGAACAGTTGAATTCAACTTATACTTGACAGAGTGGTTCATGAATCTAAAGGCTTTTTTTCCACTTCCGCAAGATGGCGCTGCATCCCGATGGAGGGCTCTGCTGTTGACCGTGTGACCGAGGGTGATTTGAAAATGTGTAATGCTCCAGCTGTAAACAGTATTACAGGACAATGAAATGCTCAAAGAATTCCTCAGGAAAAAAACAAACTTCTGAACACCTATGTGTCCAATATCAAGAGCTTATGGATCTTATATTTTTTCCTCGAATACAAGAATCGTACAAGGTTCCTTCTCCCCTTTGAAAACGGTGGAGCCTTTTTTAATCACCCTCGGTCACCCGGTCAACAGCAGCGCCCTCTATTGGGATACAGCGCCATCTTGCGGAATTGAAAAAAGGCTCTATACTCATGAACCTCTCTGTCAAATATGAGTGGAATTCAACTGTTTCTTGAAAAGTCACAGCTGAAAAATTCATTGAATTCTGAGGTGGTCGAGCACAGGTAATCGCTTCACTTGATTTGGAATGATCCACCTTAAAAAACCCTTAATTCACCTTTAAATGGTCAGAACAAGACTTAGGCAAGGGTGCTGAAAAAAAGTTAGGTACTATTTCAACACCGTGCAACTGTCTTGTATCGATTGCGTATCCAACGAAAATTTTTTGCTACATTCATGAAACTGATTTTCTCCCATAGAAAACGGTAGAGCGTTTTTTTACCCCCAGATATATATTTATTATGCAGTTAGCCTAATCACCAAATCATGAAGGAAAGGTCTTATGAAGGTCAGCGTGGTCTCATATTAATTGTGGTGGTCCATATGCGTGCAAAACAACATGTTAATTGATCACATAACATGCATATTAAGTAGTTTTTTCCCAATGCTACTTCTTTAATGTCCTCTTTTGGATCGCACTACGCAATCTCATGAATCTCAAAGACGCCTGTCATATATTATTACTAATTGAATTACTTTTGCGCTAATTAAAAATTATCTCCGAGAGAAAAACTTTAGAATTAGTCCAACCGTCGATTGGTATATGTGATAGTCGCAGGCTATTGATGAATAGATTGTGTGAGTGCATATTTCCTCTGAATAAGGTAAAAAAGGAAGTAGTAATTTGAATGCTTCGAAGTGGGGGTCGTAGGCTGCTCTAGCACGGAGTGGCCTCCTCGCACGTTTATCATGGGGTTAGCCGCATTCAATGGAAGGCGGGAGGGTTCGTTTTCGTTGAAACAGAAAGCCTTATGCCCCATATTCCCCCAAAGAATAACTGAATCACCTGGATGCTGGACAGTCAGCCTTTTTCACCAGCTCTTCCGGGCTCTCACGATTAGTCCAAAAAAAACTAATCTCAGAAAAGACAGGATGAACACCGATTAAGCGAGGCGCAGTCTTTCTTTGTTTCGCGGTTAGAGCGGGAACATCAACCTAATTTGGCGGATGATGGGTCGTTTTTGGTGAGAAAATAATCATCCCAAAGGCCACAACCCTTTCCTGACCCAACTGACGTATCAGTCCCCAAAATAGGTTGACTTTCTCACTCTTCGGCTTTTCACACCAATCTGGGGAAAAAAATAATTGAGGTAAACTAACCGAGCCAGTGCGATGAAAAGTCTCGCAAACATGAATATAAGCCCAGAAGGGCGTAAAGAAATATGGTGTAGGTGGGTGTGGTCTACTTAAAAAATAATCAGGGGTATTTCAAAATGATACAAGAGGATGTTGGCTAACGATGAACTTGTCTAGACTACACAATTGGCTTGAGATTAATACTTAAACTCACCTTGTTGCTTACGCTTTGTCCCCACGAAACCACTGCGTAGAGAAGGTTGAAGGTGAAGGCTGTTTTGAATCCGCATATCCGAAGGCTGACGGAAATTCCTCTGACGATCATCATCATGAAGTTCGAGGTGAAGGACATGAAACAAAACGCCGTCAAAACTACAAGATTAACACTGAAAGCCTCCGAGAGTCCATGGACGAACTCTGCCAACTTGAAGTGGAGCTTCACCAGAGGGACTATATCGGGAGAGTCGGAATCCTGGAACCCCACGTTCACCCTGGTGAACTTTTCAACCGCGAATTGTAGGAGAAAAAGGAGGAGAAGAGTGGGTGCTACCATGAATCGCTCGGAAATCATGAGGAACACGGCCTGATATATTGCTGACAAACCCGAATTCTGCCAATTCCGAGAGAAATTGTCAAATACTACAATTAGGATGATGGTGATGAAAAAGGCGACTGCTACGCCAACGGCGAAAACCTGTTGGTGTCGATTCTGTGCGGGTATTTTTTCCGAAGAGGCAATTGCTTGAATGCCTCGAGCAACTTCCAGCAAAGAATTCATTTTGCGTTGAAAGCGGAGTTCACCCAGAGAGAGAATTAAAATGAAAACCTGAGTTAGGAGATCGACGAAGATGAAAATGGAGTCATAGAAATCCGGGAGACCATATAAGAATTCGTCAATTATTGAGCGGATTTTCCATAGGATGATGAAGAGCTGAAGAAGGGTGACGAAACCGCTGTAGAGTCGAACCCAAGGATTCCATCCGGATGATGCCACCCCTAATCCTATGGCACTGAGGAATCCTCGGATGATCCTTTCCCTCCTATAAGAGGCAGATCCATCTTAGAGCTGCGCGGTATTTCGTGGAACAGCGTCAATTGAGTATGAACACTTTTTGCATCACGTCCATTCCGTGCTCTACGGTGTCGCCCAGAATCGATTAAAAAAAATCTATTTTTCTCTCCATTTTGCCAAGTTTCCGACCAAACCTACACTCTTAGAAAAAGGGGAGCGATTTTTCTCAAAAAAGAGAGCAAAATAGCTAACTCCAGTTTCACCCCCCTTTCACTCTGGGAAAGGAACAAATTTACTCCATCATGAAGGAGTAGAATTGCTCTCCTCCTCTGGGAGTAAAAACGCTTCTATCAGAAAGTGATAGGGATGTCGTGCAAAAGCGAAAAATTCATTATATATTGTGTGTCGCTATCTCTCTCGTACATGCGTTGACCTACCTCTGACTGTACTGATTACACCACACGTCAGAGGGTGGACAACCTCTTATTGGTTTCGTGGAGTAGTCCGGGATATCAATCCCTTATTGCCACATCTAATTGAGGTATGAGGGAATGAAGTCCACGGGCACTCTCTACGCATTCTAGATCTCCTATGTGGATAAAATCACCCGCGTTCAAAGGGGGTTCTCAATAGGAATATGAGCTTGTTTATGGCCTGGACTCTATGAATATGTCTTGAATATGTGGATAATAAATGATGAAGTGCCCGTGTTTATTGATTCCTATAATGAGACTAGGCGAGACATATGACAAGGTACTAAACAATCCTGCGAGGGACGATTCCAGGGAAAGAGGGAAGTGCATTATTGTGTACTGTGCGAAAAGCGAGACCCTTACCTCCATCTAGTGGCCTGGCGAAGAACTTCAAGGTGTTCACTTCAATACGAGCGATGAGGAGCATTTGGTGAGTAATAAGAGAGTAAATTCGAAATGCTCACAGTGTGATCGCTTTTTACTCCCCAAACGCTCGGAATTTTCTAAGAGTGTAGAGCGTAACCTTAAATACCGTGCCTAATAGTGAGAGTTCAATTGTTGGATAAGTGTTGAACATTATCTATAATTATATTTTATGACATATGGTACTGTAGATTGCTTGTCCCTTCAATCCTCCAAGAGTTTTGGGACTCGGCAAGAGGTGATTCAGACGAATCTCTTCAAATATTAGCAGTGTAGAGGTTGCGGAATTGTTCGATCGGAATATGACCTATCGGTGAATTCCGTAACTTCTTGCTGGAACATTTCCTGTATTCTCCTGATGGCAAGGTTTTTTTTTTAAATTTCGCACTATTTTCGCTCGGTATTCTGTCGTCCTTATGCAAGTCACATCCGACTTCCAATTCATAGTTACCCATAATAAGTTGTGACATTGCCATTTGCAAAGAAATGGGAAACCCCAAAGGTAAAACCAAAAACACAGCAAGAGCCAGAGGACTAAGGAAATAGCCAATAACAATCGGCAAGAAGGATAGGACAAGCAATAAGTATTTACAGGAAGATCAAGATGCGGCAATAAGCGTCGCAAAGTCTTGCAGGATGGGATTGCGTGGGACTCAAGAATGTATGGAGTGCCACGAACAACCATATAAATGATAATAGAGGAGGATTGGCAAATTTCGAGGGGAGATCAAAGAGAACGGAACTGAATTTTGTATGACGCTGTGGAGACTCTTTCCAACTACTGATGGTTATATCCTTCGAAGTTGTCCTCTTCGGCATCTACACAAATTTTCCAGTGTTTCTGCAGTCTGTGGAATAATTGGGAACACGCGTCTTTTAGAATCACCGGCAGTGCTCGCGTCGCGTTTACAATTTTGCTTTGAATACCTGAAATCTCCTTCATGTCAGCACTCTCTTTAGCTTATGGGACAAAAATGAATTACTAGAAGCTAGGTTCGGCGAGTTGGATCGCTTATGAAGCACGGGAATTGCGGGGTAGGTTACAAACCGCTGAAACTGGAATATGAAGGAAATTTATGACATTTTAAGGAACTTTACGAGCGCGCCACGAGCGCTGCTGGTGATTCAAAAGACGCGTGTCCCCAATTATTCCACCGATTCTTCTTCTCGTAAAGGCGATTCTCTGAAAAGCTTCTGGATCGATGCAGGGAACTAGAAATAGAGACAATAACAAATTGAAATACTGGTCAGAATACAAACGGTGGAGCAGTTTTCACTGCGGAAGTTTCACACAGTAAACGGCAGAAATCGACTTTTCTCGTCTATTGATCGGTTCCATAGGGAGAAGGATGAGCCTTCGCGCAGTGCACAGGGAGTCCTCTGTCCTAGAGGGTGTTCCATTTAAGTTGAAACATATGGAAAAAACGTACAATTATGCTATATACCTAACATGTCCACCATCGTTATTGATGCACTAATTAAAGCGTTCTTCCCATTCGTTCTGAACTTCTTGTAAGACATCTGGTGCAATTTGAGAGCGAAGATCAAAGCAAATTAATAATTACCCTCGCGTTTCCTCTTAAATGAGACATCCTGTAGAATACGTCGCCGAATCCGAAATGATACCGAGTCTGGATGAGAAAGATGAAAGTAAGCTCCTTGAGCGCCGCCAAGTGAGGCCCTCTTGGGCCTCCCGCCAAGCCATCCTGAGTTTCCAGCTTTCCACGAAACGAATAAAATGCGTTGGAGAATCACATGCTAAGCCGACGCCAGTCTCGAATGACAAGATGGGCTTCTCTCATTTTTACGAACCGTTATTTAAAGCACTCTTCTACATTATTTCAGGATTTTTACCAGCAACCCCATTCCACCATTAGGAACAGTGGATGGCTATATCAAGGAGAGGCTATCGCGTACGAGTATTCAGCACCGGATAACGCTGGTACGGCTCTCAAAACCTCTGTGATTATCCTGACATCGTTCCTTGACTTTAAAACACAGTTAAAACTTGGAGAACATCTCACTGTCCGTTCCAACCGTGCCTATGTCAAACAGGGAGCTCATACAACGTCCCTTAGGAGAAATTTCAGCCGGTACGTCATCTGACTTTATTGGCTGAATTTACTGGGGGGAACCGGATAAGAGTTAGGTACTAGATCGATATTTGAGAGCCCTAAAATCCGTACACCGACATCTGGACGGGTTCACCGGCTTCTACAATTTTTGCGGTGAGGCGCAATATTACCTCATACCATATGTGAGGCCTCTCCAAAATCAAGTCGTATATTGCGAGTGACGCATACGAGTGCATCAAAATACGATCATAGCGATTATATCGCCGCTATTATGGAACTATTATCGAAGAGGAATTCCATTCCAGGGTTCTTCCTCCTGCTCTGGAACGGCGAGGAAATTAATCTTGCTTCAGTGCGTCAGACTCTCAGGGCTACAGGTATGTTGGGCGATAACAAAGTCCTTGAATTCTAGTTACCAGACGGATTTGATTAAGCTGCAGATTGCATCAGTACATCACGAGACGGTAAAGGACTCTTCTAGGATTATTCAGCAGTTGGTCTTCCGTAAACTTTGAGGACACGATCCCAGGTGTGTATCCATGATACTCGTAATCTTGTTCAATATACATTTTAGAGCGTAATCTCACATGATTCTTACTGTTTTGTTCCTAAGGGTTTCAACAGTCGCCGACTTTTTCCTCATTCCCCAAGTAGCAAGAGGTCATCCCTGGGACATCCCATTTGGATCCTACGTGGGACAAAAGGACATCCCATGGATGTCATAATGAAATCGTCCCGGGATATGGAAATCCCTGGAACATTCAGAGGACATCCCGTCAGGTTAGAAATACTCTCGTCCCATACACCAAATCCTTAGTATGTCCATAGGATTGTCCTCTGAATGTTCCAGGGATTTCCATATCCCGGGACGATTTCATTATGACATCCATGGGATGTCCTTTTGTCCCACGTAGGATCCAAATGGGATGTCCCAGGGATGACCTCTTGCTACTTGGGTCTTCAGCAAATATCTCATCTTCTTTCATCTTTAGCATTTTACAAGATCAAACATCGACCGATAGAACACCGGCTCTTTCGTCGGAAGATGAAGCATATGAATCGGTAAAAGGCGAATAATTGGATGAAAATATCCAATAACTTTTTTAAAGACCTCTCGGGAAGTCATCTCTTTTTCTTTCAGCGGCAGCCCCCAGGGGATCAATTTCGAGGGAAAGAGATGGTGTTATGAGCAGGAATAAGGCTTTGAAACATATTGCCCTGAGTCTTTCATCGCTCTTCCTCTTTTCCTTTCAATTTTCTTCCCCTTGCGATCCGGCTGATCGGAACTGTCTCTCACCATGAAAGCGATATATCGTACAGAATGAAATTCGAGATGTAACAATGTAGCGAATTTGACGAGACATTCCATCAGTGTCTCAACATTTCGGGTACCAACGCCAATCTAGTCAATTGAGTTGAAATAATATATCAGCAGCAAATGTTCATTAAGTACAAGGCGAAGCATCTCGAATTGTCGTAAATATTCTTATTTCCTCTGCGACGCCTTGCAAGATCGCATTTCAAGCAAGACTCTCGGCGTTTACGAGTCAGAGTTTCGGTCTAATACCAGCTCATCAGTATACCAAACATGAGAAACGTGAAGAATATCGGGCGACACCGGGATCGAGAACGTCCTGTCACCCGATGTGGGTCAATCGGATTATCGCAAGATATCGAGAACATCGGCCGACACACGATATCAAGAACATCTGACGACATCCGATATCACTGGTGTCGTCGCACCTCAAAATGAAATCCTTGAAAGGCCGATGGGAGAGAATAATTAATAGAGGAAGAGAGTTACCAGTGGGTGGATGAGGAGGCGGAACGGAAGGAATAAGATCAGGGAAGGTGACGGAGCTTTGATTGCGGCAGGGGAACGGGAAGGTATCCAATTCCCTGAAGGCCGGAAGTTCTTCCCCATCTGATCGTGAGCAGCATCTCATCACCGTGGATTTGAAGGCCTTCCGGAATTTCCTATGCATGAAGCAATAAGTGATGGGGTTGGAGCAGGAGGAGACATAGGCAAGGAGTTGGATCAGACTGACTCCAATCCGTCCGAGACTCCCATACACCCCCTTCTTGTCGATCAGGACCCATGTGTTCATCACAAACCTGTAATCGTTGCATAAAATCATCCATCCGCTCTCTCGCGATAGTCGTCACGGCATCGAGGAAGATAAAGAGACGTACAGTGGAGTCCAACATATGAAAAATTCCAAGACCAAGACGGCAAGCATTTGGATCACTTTCCTCTTTGCTTGAATGCTTCTGTCTGGGTTGTGATTCCTCATCGCATGTTGCTCGTGCGGTTGTAGTTGTTGCTGTTGGTTGGATCTCCATCGCACGATCATGCATTTTTTGCTCAACCTTGCGGCGTAGAGAGCGCCGTTGACGGAACGAGAGCCAGGAATCCCTCCTGTTCGTCGGGGATCAAGCAGATGAAATTGAATGCGACAAAATAGGGAGGACAAATGATTTACGGTTGGATGCATAAATTGGATGCATAACCTTGTCCGTTCTGGAGAATCAGTCGTTGGATGCGCCTTTCCTGTTGGATACCGCGATAAAGTCGGAAGGAGATGAGGGAATACATGACGGACATGAGAAGGAGAGGAACGGAAAGAAGGATGATATCGAGGAAGATGGTATAACCCTTTTCCCCGAGGGAACTGGGCCAGGTCTCTCGGCATTTATGCCTCCCCGTTTCCCCGATCTGAGTGTATTGCGAATAGATGGCGATGGGAGAACTGCAGGCAGCCGAAGCGAGCCAAATGCAGACGATCACTCGATACGCATGGGATCGTGTTTGCCAGGATCGAGATGTCAACGGACGACAGATGGCGAAGTATCTTTCCAACGAGATGCTCACCAACGTCCACACTCCCACCGAGACTGACATGGCTGCAATTCCAGAGATTAGAAAACATGAGAAAAACAGACGGATGAAAATTGAGAAGATATGATAACCAGGGTCGCACAGTGAGCTCGTGGGCAGAAAAGTACGGTATATTTTCAGGAGTAAACGATACCGACGTATTCTCAAAGTATGCTCATAGAGTGGCTCCGAAATTTTCCATTCTCATGATCTTTTGTCATGATATCCACATTATAATAGGCAGTTAACCGAGTTACCTAACTATGAAGGAGAGGTCATATGAAGGTGAGAGTGGTCTCATATTAACTGCCACGGTCTGTAGGCTTGCACAACAATATAATGATGTTTGATTAATTGGTTTAAAAGTTAATTAGGTTTTTTTTTCTGGGTGATACTGGGTTACCTTTAAATAGGGCTGGGCGATATGGTTTTTAAAGTATCGATATCGCCGACCTATACATCGCCAGGGTTCAATCGTGGGGGGGGGTTGGTATTAATGACGCATTTCTTTCAGGATAAAACCTCTTTATTTTGGTAATGATTCTGACATGATCTTGAATGGATGACATCATGGTAGTTCGTTGTTCAAACCTAGGAGAGAGAACATATCGACGATCTCTGTCGCAAAGCTTGCACGATGTTCGTTTGCGAAAAATCCGTATCTCGGAAAGAGTCGCTCACACGGGACGAAAGTTCCGCGAATTCGCAGGTATTTGCGAGCCAGGTCGGCAAGCGACGGGTGTCTCCTTCCGTTTGACTCTGGCGTCTCGGTGGGTCGTCGATCTCCATTTCGCTGCTTTATTAATGTCGAGACCGAACGGAATTAATGTAATCGATTTCGTCCTGCGGCTCTGCTACTGCAGGTTCGTAGCTGTCCGTGTGGGCTAGGAAAGTGATGATTGCCTTGTATGACTTCTTGCTGGAGGCCGAAATGGACTCGATTGTCAGATTCGAAATCTTGAGATTGGTAGATTGTCAGATTCGAAATGCAACCGTGAAAGAGTCATGAGACCGCGAATGGTCTTCAAGGTCTTCCGTTTTTCTTTCAGGGAAAGTTACGTCAAGCGTTTAAAGCCTGGGAACCGATTTTCCTCGGAACTGGGCTTCCACTTCGTCCCAGACAGGAGAAGTTGCAAAGAATGATGGAGTGGTCTTTCTAGCGGCGAGACTCGATTATCGCCAAAATCAATTTGAGGTCGCAAGATGCGAGAGATTGGTCGTATTCCCAGAAACTGGAATCTCTCTTCCTTTCAGTGCGGCTACTTTTTCACATTCCGGATGGGTATTGCATTCGTTGCGAGAATAAATTCTAAACGCTTTCCACATTACAGACTTTCCACGAGCGTGAGGTATGAGTTTCCAGTTCTTTTCCATCCGCAAAAATTGGCTGTGGTTTCATCATACTCGGGGTCTGACTGAATCATGGTGTGCTGATTTCCATCATTTCGCCTCAAAGAAATTTTCTAGGAAAAGAAAGCATCGGGGAGGATTGCAGTCCTCAGAGTATCCACTAACTCCCTCCCTCATCGCATCAGTTTTTGTCAAGGCCGACAATCTATCCTTACAGCGTCCTGTGCCGTTATTGTTAATGGCGCGGTTCGTGTGCTCCGTTTTCCCTCTCCCGCGACAATAGAGGAGTAAAAAAAATTATTTCCAAAATGTAAATATCGCGATATGCAAACATATCACCGATAAGACACATATCGAACGATATCGCGATATCGAGATAATCGGCACAGCCCTACTATTAAAACTCCACCGCAGGCAGTTTTCAATCTGGATGGCCTTCGTTATGGCCATCAATCGAGGCCATCAATCAAAACGAGGGCAAATCTTTGACGCGATCTCGTATCTACCGTCTCCAATTTTCAGTCATGGTCGACGATACGTCGCCTTCTCACGTGCCCGTCGTTATCTCATGTTAAAGTGCAAGCCATGAATGCAAATTTCCAAAGAAAGTCCCCAGGTCATGAGGGCACATATGTTTCGAACATTGTCTACGAGGAGGTTTTGTGACTCAATGCTCAAACATTTGTATTTTCTATTGCGAATATATAAGTCTTCTCTTTGCGCACTAATTGTATTTTCTCTTACTGCTAATTAAAAATTAACCCTGAGTTCTTAATTTCTGTTTACATTTTATCATCACGCGGGACGCGGGTATGGTCTAGTTATATTATGATGTTTCAATGAAATCTGTTGGATGCAGAATGTGTCTGCCACGTCCGTTACCATGGAATTTTCCAGACGTCTCCCTCTGAGGCCTGTCTTTGGGCGCCTGGTCTGGATCTCCTTAAAGACCTCGGGAAGGCATTTTTCAAAGTACCACTTGTCGTCGGCAGAGCTCTGTCCCTCGAGGGTCACCGTTGCCACACGGCCGGAAGCATCGAAGAAAGAAGTAATCACCTTGAAAGACCCAGACTGTCGTTTTTCGGTCCGTCTCACATCCGAACTGAAATATCCACGACGCACTACCAATATACGAGTTATGGCGTAGACAACGGCGAGATCGACTTCCATCAAATTTTCGCTCCATTAGCTTTTACCAACAGACCTAGTCTTGGTTCAGGGCATCAGTCAGTACGTAAAGCATAGTGTCTGCTGGATATCGCCGAAGCAGCAATTTGGATCTTCCTCGAGCAGAAGCGAAATAGGCCAATCGAGTCGGAAGTCATTGATGACGGTCGGCCAGAGCGAGGTTCATCTGCGTGATTCGCTCGCCCGTGACAGAATTCGGCCAACCACTTGGATAGAGTGGATTTCTTTGTATCGTTCTCAAGAGCTGATATGATTCGAGCACGGGATCGGTGCTCGTTTGAGCATCAGAGAAAATGAAACATCACGGCTCGAAAATTCTCTTCGGTGAACTCCACATTGGTTAACCCTGGACCACTAGGTGACTTGCGATATAGGCCCCTGCTCGCTTAAATTCGCTTGGAGGAGGTTGAATCTGGAGCCACATGCATCATTCATCGTTCCCTATTTTGCAAGCTCCACTCAGAACTTCTTAATTTTCTTGTGTCTACGAACTTTCTGAGTTACCCTCGTTTGACTGTGCCCCTTTTTACCTCTCACGAGTGCATTATGTAGATTCTTTCGCACCGTCTCGCATTAAGAACGAAGTTAACGAGGATGAGCTAATTATTCACATCTGACGAAGGCAAAAAGGAACTTCTTGTCTCTTGCTATCAGGACTTCGGAACGGAACAAAATATGTCGTTCTGAAAGCGAAATCATTTTTTTCCCTTCAATTACGAATCTTTGGGGGTTAATTTTTCTTCCTGCAATCGGACAGGGTGAAATTCCTCCCCATTTTTCGATATTAACTCGCCAATTTAAATTCTAAGGCGACTTGATACTGCTTAATCCAGAGTCTTTCCCATATACAGGGTGTGGCAAAAAAAGACCAACGACCTTAATATCTCAGTTTCCAAAGGATCTATTTTCACGAAGCTTTCACTATACAAGCATGAGCATGTTTCTTCTGATTCTCAAAATTCCATCCGAATTTTTTGGGGGCCGAAGCGATGCTACCAGCAATCACCGAAAATAAGTTAGACGTTGAGAATGGACAAGAGCTCCATCTGGTAGCGGAGTCGAGTGCACACTCGCGCGCTGTCCCTCCTGGTCATCGAGACCGCTACCAACTCCTCTTCCGTTTAAATTCATTCTTTGGATAGGTCGTTTCTTGCAGATGGTTTTAATGAGCTACGAATAGCAGATGAATAAATTAGTATCAATATCCAGAGACTTTTTACATATTTCATTCAAAACTTCATACCTGAGACTGCAAGGTATGACAATAAAAAGAGAACGACTTCGAGTGTTTCTTCTGATTGTTTAAGCCATGTCTCACAACATGTGCTGTGGATTCATTTATTTGAAGTCAACAAGGCGGCCAAAATCCATTACTTCAAATTAAAGTTATATAAATGATATTCTGTGACAAATCTGACATTTGAAGCGGAGAGTCCCTTCAGAAAACCAAGGGAATTTTTTTTTTTGGGGGGGGGGGGGAACTTTGCGAATTGTGGGAAAGACTTTACGCAGTTTTGTGTGATTTTTTAAAATTATAAATAAATGAACCAGGTAACTTTAAATAATGGAATGGAACAGAATGGAATTCAGCATCTTGGAACGGACATGTCATTCTGCAATATTCTAAGACAAAGAATACCGGCAAAAGGGGATAAATTTTACTGACACTGTTGCTGTCTCGTTGGCGGGTACCTTGTCGCTCCAGTGATCTAATTACTGTTTGTCACTGATGAGAAACGCCTCGTCATGAATATCTGAAGAGGGTTCGAGACGGACCCTCTTTTTAACTTAACTTTTTAACTTTTTAACTTCTCAAGCCGAGCTGAGACGTCCGTGAAACATCCGTGGTCATATCAAGGAGAAGATGAGAATTAGGGAATCCCTTGCAAATTGACCTTGCTTTGACCGAATAATTTACCACTTTCAAGCCTGACAATTCGAATGCGCCATGGGAGTAGGCCATCAAATGACGGGTACAGGCCTAAAAGTGTTAAGACGAACGAAATGTCTCGAGGTTCCATCTTCGAGGAAGTACTGGGGAGAGTGCGAGAGAGAATACTGGCGACATCATCTCTATGAAAAATGTCTCCGAGACGGTCAACGATGCGAAGGAGATTAGATGACAAATCTGACAGGAATGCATCCGTCTTTCTCGACTTCATTTCAGCTTTCGATGTTTCTGCTTTTCGGAAACACCGACTCGAGGGGTCACTGAATGCGGAATCACGTCATTACATAGCAGAACATGAGAAAAATGAAAATATATCGAATGTAGGATCGTGAGTGGAATTGTGTAAATTTTGAGCAGTCTCTCTCAGCACTTGAAACTTGAAACACCATATTAAGGTGATGACTTATTAAGATGACGATGACCTGGCTATTAAGGTTTCCCGCATCGATATGAGCCTGTGCTGCATTAAAAAATATTTTGAAGTCCTCTACCTCACGACAGCATGCCATGCTCGAGGAGAATAAAAGCAACCTAT